CGCAACTGTACCAAATCACACAGTAAGTACAGTGCATCGTACATCTGTACCAAATTACATAGCCAGTGCAGTGTACCTAAATTTCACACGTACATACACTGGTTATACATTTGACATACATAACATATATACGTACATTTTAATACACACATATATTATAATACAGATATGATCCATCACTAAATTTCTGACACATAATATATATTTATACTCACACACACATAATCTCTTCCGATATATACACACACGTTTATACTTAAACACGTATACACAATCACATACAATATACTAGATATATATATTTATTCACGCATTTGTTCTTATCAGCTCAGTTCTTATCAGCTCTATTTGTATCAATTCTGTTATTATCAATTCATATCTCATTCATCATATATTTTTATATATATACACAAACATGCATAATAATGTATATATATATACACTATATAAACACACAAATACAAATTAGACATACTAATTATATTCATGTTATATTACACATACATTAAAACATTCACATATAATGCACAATATGTATACACATTTACATAAACATATAATTTATATCTCCGTATGGAATACACATAATTCTTACCTATGGTGTGATTGAAAAAGCTTTAAGAATTCTTTCTAACTCGATCTATGGTCTTCTCAGAAATTCAAATACCGTTTAGATAATTTTCTTTGTTTAAATAGAAAATACATATATTAATTTATGAATATTTTAGAAACTATATTAGGTGAAATAAGGAATGGATTTTACCTTAGGACACGCGGTCTCGATCGCCAATGTCACAACACACCATCATACCAGTGTCACCGAAAATGTCAGGCTCTGATGATCGAATTATAGCACGTTGTCGCATGCGGTGCACCGACATCATATTGGTCACCACACTCTCATTTTTCTTCTTTAATTTAATTAATTTTTTTCTTTTCTTTCATCATTGTTTTTCTTTTATTCATTTTCTCTTTTTTTTCTTTCTTTTTTTTCTTTTTTTCTTCATTTTTCCTTCATTCTTCTTCTTCCTCCTTTCTCCTAGCTTCCATTTTTTTTCTTTCTTCTTCCTTTATTTTTTTTTCTCTTCTTCTTATTCTTTCTCTTTTTCTCTCTTTTTTTCATTATTCTTCTCTTTTTTCTCTTCTTCATTCTTCTTCTTCTCTCTCTATTTCTCTCCTTCCCGCAACGTCTCCCCTTCCGTCACGTCTCACCTTCGCGATTGCCATCACTCCTCCTCATGTAGCCAAGGCTCCTCCCCTTACTCTGCTCTCTCGGCCCTGATCCTCACTCAGCTCGGCCTCCTCTCTCACTCGCTCAAACTCAGCTCTCTTCCTCTCTTTCTTTTTTTTTTCTACTCTTTCGTTACATATATATACATATTTGCCGCTTAGTTTTTTCTCTCTACATTCTTCTTTTTTTGTCTTTATAAATTATATATACATACATATATATGTATCTATATAATTTCCACCTAGTCTCCTTGTGCTCCCAGAGGTGTACACCTTTAGGCTCTTTTATTTTATTTTTTTTTCTTTTCTTTATCCTTTTTTTTCTTTTAATTATATATTCTTTTAATTTTTAATTTTTCTTTTTTTTTTTGTGCGAGTTGGGTACCAATAGGATATTACATATCATTTATACAACCTCCTCTAGTTCTTGTAATTGAATTTAAATCACGTATGATGCATGGGTTTGAAATGTCAAATATGGGTATGTTGTGTTATTTTCTTGGCCTTGAAGTTCAATAGGTTGAAGATGGAATTTTTATTTCCTAAAGAAAATATGTTAATGATCTTCTTAAGAAATTGGCATGATTAATTTCAAATATGCAGCCACACCCATAAATGTCAATGAAATATTATAGCATGAAGATGGGGGAGAAATAGTTGGTGCTAAAAGGTTTAGAAGCTTGGTTGGAGGATTAATTTATCTAACTCACACTCGACCCGATATTACATTTTCTATTGGCATAATTTCCAAGTTTATGCAAAGTCCATCAAAGTTCATTTTGGAGCGGTAAAGCAGGTCTTGTGTTATGTTGCTGGAACTGTGGATTATGACATTTGGTACTCAAA